TCGCTCGGGCGTTTTGTAGAAAAATCAACCGTGCCGCAGGTGCGAACGTTGCCTCGTACTTTGCAAGAATTTAAATAAGATCGAGGCGAATCGAAGACAGATGGCACGTAAGGTGATTTTCGAGAGACCTGGCTCAATCAAACGATTTCAAATCGCGACATTCGCTTGGTGCAAGTGTCTCGAGTTGGCTGAAGCTCCTAAGCAATACCATTTTGCGGTTGTCGAGTGCTTAAACGCGAAGGTATCTATAGGTCGAGGGTGGTCGTGACTCGAGGGTGTTCGTTCAAGCGAATGAGTAATACAAATAGCTTTTCTGTCCTGGAATTTCCAGGCTATGGGCACTTTCCAGGGTAGAAATTGAAATTTTCCGGCAATTTTTTAGTATTTTTGCGTGGTTAATATTTTATTCAAGTTTTATTTTCATTTTGTTTCAATCTTCCTTTACTTTTTATTCAGTTTTCACTTCTTACTAAGTTCTCGTTTAATTTTTACACGAATTTAATGTCTATTTTGTTAATTTCATTTTTCAGAAAGGAATTTTGTATTAACTCTTTGCAGTGGAGAGGTGACCGTCAGTCATCATTAGATAAAATTTCGAAGATCGATATTAATTAATATGTCAAATTTAAGATAATATAACGGTGTGCGAGCTATCGAAATCAAATAATTCTACGGATTAATTATTATACGATTTCTTATTTATTATTGAAAGAAATATCGCCAGCTTCATAGCAGAAAATCTTTGAACCCCTACTTTTCTTTAGCCAAAAAATCGTCGAGTCCAAAGGTTTAAATTATTATTTAATTTTTATTTCTGTTCGATTTGGATTATTTGTAACTATTTGATAAATTTAATTCGAAATGGTAAATTTTTACTATCCTTAAATTTGTATCTTTTAATAATAATATTCATGTGACACTTTTCCTATTTAATTTTCCGTTTAATTGGTTTGCATCGTTACTTGGTATTTAGTAAATTTAAATAAGAATTTAAAGGCTTGTAATGGCATTCTGGCTTATAGAAAAATTAATTCTGATTTGTCTAGGTATTTAGATACATTCCAATTTAAGGACGAGTTAATTATAATTTTGATGATACTAATTTCCTTAGGATGCTTATAATTGTTTCGTAACTTCTATAAATAAATAATTTTGTTATAACGTGTGCCATTCTCCAACAAACTGCAATGATTAAAATTAGGCTATTTTTGCAGTAACGAAGTTTGTAATAACCGCGTAAAAGTTGTCAAAAGCTATTAAGGAGTCAAAATACGTGGCAGTTAAAGCGTTGACTAATCTAAGAAGATAACAAGGTAATGTCTGTCATTATAACTTGAAGCATATAAAACTTTACATAACAAGATTGAATTTTATACTGAAAACGCTGCTATGCAAAATAGCTATTTTAGCTGATAACCAACGCTTCCAAATACTCTTCAGTTAGTCAAAACATATTAACTAATAAGTATTAAAAAGTCCCTAATTTCATTTAATATTAGCTGTAATTTAACTAAAATATTAAACTAGGATAAAACAATTTAGAAATAATTTACAACAGAGAAAGTAAATTCTCTTTCAAAATAGACTACTACAATTTTTAATACTGCTAAACTATAATTTCCATTATTCACATGACTCGTTGAATTTCTTTATATTTTATTTTCATTTATAGACAATATATTTATTTAATTAATATATCGTTTAATCATTATTTGAAAAAGCAATCGAAGATATTTTTCGAGTAAATATTTGTCAAACTCGCGTATTATATCAGAGAATAAAAATTCTTTTGAGACGTGGAACAAAAGACAGCAGAAAATTCATTTGAAACCCGACGCGTCATGGATATTTTAGGAAACGAGGATGCTTTTCATTGTTAGCTGGGACTGAAAAACTTGCGAATTTTTCAGCACGTACAAAATCGATACGTGGGATATTGCGATTCTATCGACAAACATGGATTACGCTGCACCTCCACGTATAATCCGCGAAATGGACGATTAATAACGACCGAATATACGTATACACGGAAACAGAGAGAAAAAAAGCCAGAAACAAATGCGAATCAAAAAATTCTATCAAACGCGTAACACGGTTAAACTGTATATTCACTGAACACTTTGTTCCAAATTCTTTCGATCAGGGATCATAGTGTCTTGCTCCCTGGATCAACCACTATTATAACACAAACTTTAGCCTATGAAAGACACGTATATGCAGTCTCAACACCTACACCGTTGTGTAATTACTAATTTTACCATACTCGAGCTAATTAGAAACTATTGATTCTGTCAAACGCTATTTTAGTCAGATGTATGCCACATGATCCCTGTACCCTGTCAAACAACTCATATTTCTATTTAGAAAGCTGTAAAAACTTCTTTTATTTAACTTCCGTTGACCTGGTCAGATGATTGGGAGAATTTGAGCTTCACTATTAATTAAAAGTTTCACTTGGACCATTATATGGCTCCTATACCCGGTTAAACAGACGAAATTTTTGATTATAAAAATTTAAATTGATCTTTTTCAGTGAGTTTCTGATAACATAGGTGCTAATTGAAATGTTCTTCCTTCTCGTATTTCATGTTTCATTGTTAAACAACCTAAATTTCTATTTAAGAAAACTGGGTATATAGAAAAATGTTAATTGAGAAATTGTTTATTTCATAATCGATCTAAAATTATTTCTGGTACATACATAATCCCTATGCTCGATCAATAATTACGAATTTAAATTTATAATATTTTAATATTTGACGAATTTAAATTTATATAATAAATTTCTAACATGATTGATCTGAGTGAACTTATGTTCAGGGAATATATCTGCTAATTGGAAAACTAAACTTCGGGAAAATAATTTCACGATATCCATATTGTATGGTCCTCAGACTACAGTGACACTTTTACCTAACTTCTGACTCGAGAAATGTAACTTCCGAGCATGAAGAAATATTAATTAGAACATCTTCCATTTCTGAGTCGGTACCGAGTAAAATTCCTATTTCTAAATGTTCAACTTCTCTCAGCTATCCTCTTATCACGTAAGAAGACAAAAATCTCTGTCTGATCTGCACTGGACGATCTTCAATCCCAGTCAAGTACCCCAAATTTCTACTTACGCGATGTAACTCGACTTCCTCCGACAAGTTCCTGATCCCAAGACCTAATTGGTCTTTAAATCAGAAATTTCGATATTAACCCTTTGACTGCCACTGTCACGAGGGTATTTTTATTATTCGAAGCTTATAATGGAAAAGTAATAGTAAATTGGTGATGTAAGAGAATATTCTTGGCCAATGAAGCGTTTATCTTATTAGCGATCAAGGGTGACCACTGGTGGCGCCTTGGTGGCGGTTGACAGTCGACCAACTGTCAATTTTCATTCAATTTTTAGAATTGTGAGGAGTTTAAGTTCTCCGGTCACCAATGACACCATGGCGTCACAGGAGAAACCGTGGTCGGTCATACATGACCAACGTGGCATAGTCAAAGTGTTAACCGTTTGAGTCCCAAGCAACTCGATTTCAGATTTTGTGTCGAAGAGTCCCAGTACATTTCGAGCCTATGGACAACTGACGGTGCTATCACTGACTGTCCAAGTGGCAAAGAAAAGCACAATCACGTTACCTAGCATATATTATATTATTTTTGTGAAAAATAAATTACAGGAAGTCCTATCACGCCCTTTGAGATTTTTTGACATAAAATTAAACAAACGCTATCGCGCTGTTCGGGGTTTTTCGACCGTGTGCTTTTAACCCTTTTTACTCGTATTTATATTTAAGAAGCTATTTATATAATTTATATAACTCGGAATTTTTCATATTCGATGAAAATGGAAACATTTTCATGGGAAGATATTGCAATTTAACTCGTCGGTTTTGGTAAAAGAAAATTAGAAAAATACAGGAATTTAATATATGTATAATAATGAAATATAGGATAACGACTATGTGGTGACATACGAGTGCAAGTGGTTAATACTTTGACTGCCACGTTAGTCATATATGACCGGCCACGGTGGTCATTGGTGACCAGAGCGCTTGGACTGCTCGAACTACATTGAACTACGTTGAATGAAAATTGACACTTAACGAATTTCGAATATAACCGCTAATTAGAAGGTACTTTGAAGTAAAAAGTGCCCCATTGAACGATTAAAAATTTTCATTAGAACATCGATCAAAGAAATAAAACGAATCTTGCATCTACCGGTGTGCACTCTCGTGGCATCCTAAGGGAAACGTAATTTCTGCGTGGCAGTCGAAGGGTTAAAAGCCTGTGGGACTGAAGCTGTTGAAATAAACAACCATGCAACAGTTGCTACATCTCTGCTGAGCTGCTATCGAACCGTCTCATCGAACGGAACCCAGCTCACGTTAAATCAGCCAATTATATATAAACTTGCACGGACGTACACGCCCACCGTGGTACAGTATTTAAAAAATAGAAAAGGCGATTGGAAGGAAGACGGAGATAACCTTCGCGGAAATGTATGGTAAATGGAACCTCGATTTGATAACGCGCGAGTGGTCGGCTTGCACGTTGACCTCGATCTCGAACCGACCTTCTCGATGCATACTTTCTTCGGCGATCGGACAAGCAAATAGCCGTTGCACCGTCCGAATATCGTATCGAACCCGTTACGCTTTCAGACAGGCGACTCACGTGCCGCATAAGAGTCGCGATGGCGGAGGGAGGACGGTGAAAACGACACACGTCTATTTTATCCATCGTCCCAGGCATTTAATCATTCCGCGGTACGCTTGCACGCTTCATGGAATCCCCTTATTCGGGACCAGGAACATACATATATGTAGGACCGGTGGATGCGTGGCACCGTTCAACGTCGACGAATCGGGAGAAAGACTGATCGCCGCTGAACAGCCGAGAGAGTCCAGGGTCTTTTGACCCGTGGACGTTTCTAGCCTGTATATCGCTAGGATCGGGTCCCTAGGCATCCACGCGCGAATACGATAACGATTCAATCTTACCTGGGTTGCTGTCGGCGTTCGAGCTGAACAGAACGCACAGGCCAGTCTCGTAGTTCACCGCCTGGCAGGAGTCGTTCGCCTGACAGGTCTCCAAGCAATCGGTGAGCATCAGAGTTCCCGGTATGGACTCCAGCATGTTCGTGGGCGCGGTGTACACGTACCCGGTCACCAGCTCGAAGCCGACCATTTCTGGGTCGCACTCGTCGGAACCGGCGGATGGCCCCGTGTAATCTGGCCCAGAAAGTCCCGATGGGACCGCAGAAGGGACTGGCTGGTCAGCCGCATGCGTGGACTCTGCGGCTGCCACGCGACCGAACCTCGCGATAGCCTGCAGCAGCAGCAACGTCGTGATGAGTCTCGTCATCGTACCGCTCCACCTGTTTCTCGATCTCTAGCTGTAAACGGAGAGAACACCTAGGATCAGCTCATCTGTCGGCTCTGCTAGACGGATAGTTTGGGCTTGTTACGAGAAAAGGGGAAATTAGTGTTTCCAAGCTAACGCGACCAGACCTCGCGTTCTATTTGTGTCTATTTACGAAGACAGTTTGTCACGAGCATTTTTCCCCGCTTTTCAACCCGTTCGACCTGTTCTCCGATCGCTCTATGGAGATCTTATAACGTGGAATTAACGACAATTCCTATACACTGTGTCGCTGTACGCTTATTTTCCATGCCAACAGGGTTGCACCGAGGAGGTGGTGCTAGCAAGCCTGTGATTTAAGAGCAGGAAGCCGTTGAACACTTTTGATCCCTGCCAATGAGGGGTAATCGTCAGGTATTTGTCACGTGAAAGTGAACCTTCGCGTGACACTGGTATTCCATTCTTTTTCCACCTTCGATATTATCTTCGCGTTATTCAATTTATTCCCTGACGGCTGACGTTTTTCGTCCGGGTGTGTAATTTCGTAAAACGTTCCCGGAGACTGATCATCACCCGGATGATACATTTTTTCCACCTTCGATATTATCTTCGCGTTATTCAATTTATTCCCTGACGGCTGACTTTTTCGTCCGGGTGTGTAATTTCGTAAAACGTTCCCGGAGACTGATCATCACCCGGATGATACAGGCGAGTTCGAAAATAAATTATTTTATTCTACGAAGCAACGAAGCAATTCCAAAAATTCACCGAGAATGCATCGCGTCATTTTTAGATTCTTTAATCCACGAGTCCCCTGAATTCGAAGTTAGACACGTCGATCGTCACCTCGGCGATATTCGCATCGTGGAAACGATTGTTCCACCGTTTCTGCGAGAACACGTTGCCAAATTACGCGAAAATGACACGCGAGTGACACGGTATGCCTGCATACTTTGTTTCCTACATAATAGTTTGTTCCCGACATAGTTTTCGCGCTCGTACCGTTCAGTGAAACGAACGAAAAGGCCCAAGTGGCAGTTCAACGTGCCAACTAAGGAACACAACGAAGCATTAACTCTTTCCTGTGCTATGTCCAATTCGACGAGACACCGATTTCATTTTTATAGATCCATTTTATTATTTTATAGATCCATTTCATTTTAAATAATCCAACTCTGATATTTCCCAAATTAATATTCTATCATCGTCATCGATCTGAACCACTTTCATGATCATCGTCACGTAGCTCGTACGTTCGAATTGTCCACGAGTTATCGTCAAGACGAATCAGCCCCACGTTTAGTATTAAAAAAAATGTAACATTGAAACAAATAAAAGGTGCGCACTTTTTGCCAAGTTACCGTTAAAATGGCACTCAAACGTTTGTTTTACCCCGTGGAACGCGGAACAATCACATAATCGTGCACTCGGCCGAGATAGATGGAAAATCCGCGCGGTGCCACCTACCTGTCTAAATTGTGGATAGAGGTCTGGATCGACGAGATATCGGATTCGCGTAGTTGGGCAGGTGGCCAGAAACCGGCGTCCCTTATTCCCAGGCTGGAACACCGCGTTCCTTCTCGAGGACCGACTCGAGGAACCGAACAGAGAGGTATTCTCGGCAGAGGCACAATAGCCGAAACGTTGTGCACCAACTCGACGTATCACAGAGAGTTCGGTGTGGGCCAGTTTATTTATCGATCGCGGCGCGTCACCACTTCGGGAATTAACGACGATTTGCAATGATAATACGGGGGCCTCGCGAGTAACCGCGCTGCAGGGTATAACGACGTCGACCGGCTGGCTCTTAGGCACTGGGTACACCTGGCTGAGCCGCGGCGCACGACTCTTCCTCGAGCGAACAGGAGAAGGGGGAGGGGGCACTGGGACCGCTGCCGACTAAGGAGGACAGAACGGTACGCACAATTCGATCGCGGGCTTCGACACCATTGAAAACAAGCCAACCTCTTTCTCTCCTTCCCTTTCTCGCCTCTCCATTGCCTCCACCCGAATTCTTCCCCCATTCCGGCTACTTCCTCGTATTCCTATCGGGAGCACCGCCGCTGCTGCCCCCCTCGGTGGTACCGATAGACCTCGATTTCGGTTCACGTATTTCAAAAGCTCGCGCGCGGTGATCCGCTGAAATTCTATTCTTAGTTTCGGACCAACGGTTTTTCGTGGCAACCGCTCACGTAACCGGCAGTAGCTCCGGGGGCACCTGACGAAATCCGTTCGGCATCCTTCGGACGCTCCGAGTGCCTATCGGCTACCTTGCAGCCAGGTATAACTCCCCGGACCCGGGGATAAAGGGCGACGACTCGTTTCGTACACGCGAATGCACTTTACCTCGCGACACTCTGGTTCGCGTGGATCGCGAATGACGTTAATGAGCATTCGCAGCAGGATCTAGCGGGATTGAACGGGAGAGTCACAGGGGTGCCTCGTGAGAACGTGGTCGTTCGTGGCGAGGACGGCGATCGCGAGCGCGGGAAATTTATTCGAAATTTCCGCCTCGCTTAAAATTCTCTCGCGCGCTCGAAACATTCTGCGCATAGCTCGCGGGACGGTCTGAATCCGTCCGAGGAGCGATTACTCGCCGATCTCGTTCTACGTCGATTAACGCGTCTCCCATGGAACGAGTGTTTACGCGTCGAACGAGGATGACGATCATAATGCGATATAGTGTACGATCTAAGAAAAACAGGGCTGATAATAACGGGAAGAGTAATAGTGTGACGCGAGGTGAGGAATTAGGCGACCAGTTGCACGTGGCCGGGCGAGCTGTGAAAAGGGATGAAATGGGACCAAGAGGTACCGGTGATCCGCCGTTAACCGATAGCTAACCCAGAATTTCGAGCAAATGTTCCGTGCCGAATAAATGATAATTATCGGACGAGTGTAGAGAGAGAGAGAGAGGAGAGCGGACGAGGAATGCGGGAAGGTGGGGGGAGAGGAAAAGCCCTGGATGGCAAAGAGAGCAAAATCGGGTGCACGTGTGAACAGTGCGACCTAAGCGGGCGTCGGTGTATGGATGTCTCATCGGGTTCAATCGCAATCGGCGATCTTCCGCCGCGGAATTTCGCAAGGAAACGAGCGTTTTGTCGTGGTGGTCGTCTTCGTCGATTTACGAGCGGCCGCTATTCGTCCGCCCTTGAGTACCGATCGACCCAATGGCCCCCTGGCCGTGTCGTTTCATCCGCCGATGCGTGTCCCGCGGACCCGTTTCTAATAAAGCCCACGCCACGCGTGGCCGCGATCGCTTTAATTGCCCCGTTTCACGGACGATATTCGTGCTACCAGTTTCCGTAGCAGCATTCCTTTCCGTCTTCTCCGCGCCGTCCGAGAGCGTCCACGAAAATCCTAACTGTTCGCAGCTGACGCGCAGTCGCGCCAACGTGTCCACGGTTCTTGCGTCCGATCGTCTGATCGAAGGAATGTCGGAATGGATCCGGATTCGTTTTGCTATTGTTCTCGCGGCATTTGAAGATGCTCTTCTCGTGGATAGGGGCGTGGTAATCGGTTATTACGGTTAAATGCAAAGTAGACGGCGTTAAGCTCGTTAATTGTATATAATGAATTTTGTATAGCTAGGTGGTGCGGAAAATAATGATAGGTAACGTTATAATGTAATTATTGTATAATTGAAACATAATTTAAATATCTTTATCGCGGTTTGTTTATTTATGCAGCCAGCTTGCTAGACCGACGAGCAGAGGCTGGACTAGTTCGACTAGTCGAACGAGAATGTTATAGTGCTTCGATTTAAATATACGCGAAGTTTTGAACGTTGTTGAAAGCGAATGTCGTTGGACCACTGCGTGTATTTGTCGGTATAGATTGGTGAACATTGGAGAATTTTTTTTTCTTTTTTGGTAGTCTCTTTCTAGGGATATTTATGTCTGCGGGGGATATATGAGAGATTCACTGCACAAATCGATTAACTACACTTTTTGAAAGATCTTAAATATAAAAAGTTACGAGTATACCAAGTGGTATGACATTTAAATTTCAGATTTTTCAAAAAACGGGGTCTATTTGATTTGCGCAGCGAACGACTCGTGTGTAACTACTGTTTCACCTACGTCTAGTGCCACTATCTCCCGAGTTACTGGTTGCAGTTCAGAGTTCAGTCGTACTTTAGATATCTCTTAATTTCTTCATGCAGCTATTTGTTTCCGTGTTACTGCTACCTATTCCGTGTTTCTCCGGCGAACCAATATCAACCGTGTAAATAAGATACCGTAATAATACTTGGCTATGTAAAGAGGTTACGGGCGTGCAAAGCAACAGACCAATTGATATTCGCGCGAGTCGCTAATACGATCGGATTATTTTAGTGGCCGCAAAACAGACTGTATCGACCAATATGTACCACGATACCTTGTACTAACTGAATCGAATAGACGACGGTGATTCCGAATGGGTATTGTACTGTTAGATCCACGTAGTGGTTTTCGCGTGGCGCAATTAAAAATCTTGCCCACCCGGAATGCCTAACATTTTCCGCCATTCCATGGCCGTTTCTATAATTTTCGCAGCAGGAAATTGTTTAAATATTCATCGTAATTGTATATACGTACAGGTGGCATCAGGGGAATACAGGGGAATTTTGTAGCGTTGGTAATTGAAAATTTTATATTTTTCAAGTGGTATTCATATGATGAAATAAAAATTTTTGGGGGGTAAAATAAAATATAGTAAGGATATGTTGTCAAATTAATAGATAATATGTCCAGTAGGCAATTGTGAACGATGATTCGACGTTATATTCATTGATACTAAATTGCTAAATTTAATTAAAAATAATTTGCTTCAGATATTTAATATTCAAATAATTTAGAAAGACACTTTGGTGTCTTCAATGAAATTTTATGTTAATATTAATTCGCACTATTATTTCTCAATTTTTATTTTTATTTCACGAATATTTAAATATGCGCATACTGACTAAAGTTAACTAAAAAAAAATAAATAATCGTTTGCAAATATTCGCATATATCTTT